CACGGCTATCACTCAACTGGGTCACACGCACACACACACACACACGCGCACGCACAAAGCTGCACAGCTGCTGTTGAACGGAACACACCCTAAAAAAGGGCAGGCACACGCGCACGCACAGGACTCGGAATCAATGAACAGCAGCACTACGTTTAACAGCGCAAGTTAATGTTAAGGTCATGTTAACAGCCGTATAAGCTTAGCTTGTGAAAAGGGCCGCGAACCAGTGGGCGGAGGCAGCGGAACTAGTGGGGTACACTTGTTTAACAGCACAACATTTATCTTAAGGTCATGTTAGCCAGCCTCATACAACTTTCTAGCTTTTTTAAGCAGCCGCTTTTCAACACTCCTTGTCCAAATTTGGGCGTAAAACTGAATGCGCATTGAAAACAAATTGAAATTTGAGATAAAAATTTTGCTTTGGGTACACAGGGTCAACAGCTGAAATGAAGCTGCTGTGGAGAAAGCTTCACGGTGGTCATGGCAACAACAAAAATAGAGTTTGCGCGTCAATAGAGAGAAAGAAACGAGAGAGCGAAAGAGAGAGAGAGCGAGAGAGAGGTAGAGAGCGCGCAAAAGCTGTGCAGACATTTGTTTTTGTAGCAACAATGAGTTTATTGCACCGGCCAAACGAGCGACTTGTTGTTATTGTTAAATGCATTAACTTACAAATAAATCTTGGCAATTAGTGTAAGAATCCGTTTGGCTGTGCTAACAACTTTCGCTACGCTGCAAAGACGAGTTACTGTAGGATGTGAATGTGTTGTGCCTGTTGTTCTTTTGCGGGCAAATGCATTCAAAACGTACACGCACACGCACACAAACACACACACAACACATACACGCCGCAGATTAAATGTCTGTGGCAGTTAAACCGTTATGCGCGGCTGTTGATGCGCGTCTCATATAACAATTAATTAGAAATTAAACCTGCTGCGTGTCTATGGCCAAAGCAAAACTGCCGTCAGCTAGAGAAATATACATATGTATGTGTAATCTATGTATGAGTGTTTGTTCTTAATAATTTCTTTTCTGCTGATAGTGCTTTTTGGCCATCTTTGATTTCACACGAATACATGCACACACACATACACATTTGTTCAGTCTTGCGTAAACTGGGTGTGAGTCAGAGCAACAACAATAACAGTAAGGCGGCAAACAGCTGAGGAGTTCTACAAAAAAAAAAAAAAAAAAAAACTATGCACTGTTAACTCTACTTTTTATGGACTATAAATGCTGCACATTTGCTTTTGCGCATTAGCAGTAGTGCATATACGGGTTTGTATGTACATAAATATGCAAGTAAAATTAAATTCTACATGAAATCATCATTAAAAATATACCAAAACACTCATACGCACACACACACACACAACTGTACGTTACACATGTATGTGTATTTAATTTAACAAACAAAAAATGATTCACATAAAAATAGCCTCAAAGAGCCTCCAAACAGCCCGCTAGCCGGAGACCACTGGCAACACAGCTGTCACCTGTCCTCAACCACCTCACGCCCACACTCACACACACATATGCATATGCATATATATATGTAATGTATATACATGCATATACGTGCCATTTTGATATTCCAGACAGCCTGGCCGCAGGAACTGTAGACCCACCCAACTTACAATGCAGCCGGCACTTTTACGCTGGGTTTGTCACTTCACAATTTTAGCAATTAAATGTATTTTACGCACATTTTTTGTATTAAGAAAAGCACATCGATGGATAGGCAAACACACACAGCCACATATTATAGTTCTTGTAATTGCACTTACCACAAATTTGTAATAGTAGCGACGAATTTGTTAATTACCAATTTACCGCTGCTTCAGAACAGTTGTGTGCGAAAAATCGACGACGAGTGACTAATTTTTCGCTCGTTCGTTTGTCTAACATATGTTTTTAACAGCAACACATTTAACATTTTGCTGTAAAGTTATTAGCAGCAAAGTGAAGTGTTGATAAAACTAAAGCCGTTATTTTTTATCGGACAACATTTGATTTTATTGATGGGGAATTATGTGAAATTGTGTAAAATAAAATTGGCGGTTTCATAGGCCTAGTTTCAAAAGTTGGCTAATGTAACTCATGGCCAAGATAACGCTGTCTTCGACAGTTAATAAGATATATAACATGGTTATAACAGAATACCAATTGGGAGTGACGATACATATAAATGTTTTTGAACACTGACCGTACTGTAATGTATTGCGATTGTAATGTTATCGATAAGACTCCAAAATATATTTGGCGTTTTTACAAAATTTTTAAATCTTAAACAATATCTGTCGATTTGAATACTTTATTTATTGTATGCTTAGTGGTAGTAACGGTATATATGTGACTTATCACAAATATGAAAAGAATTTCAACCATGCAGATAATCCATGAGGAAGGGCGTATCATCAGGTCCATACGGGGTTAAAGGAACATCATAGGGCAAGGGAAAGGCAGGCACACCATTTCGTGCATTGCCCAGAGGAAAAGTCTCCTCGCCAGTCTGCAGAAAATAAAGGCGTTATTTAATATAAAGCAGGCATATCAAATATTTAACAAACCACAAATCTAGGCAGAAAGAGGACGCCCGCCTCGTAGTTGGCAATGCGCAGACATGGCTGTATTTGGGAATTCTTGTTAAAGGAGCCCCACGCAGCCTTCGATAGATTCGCCGAGGTCAGCACAAACCAGTAGACGCATTGCTCCTCCAAATTAAAACGCGTATAGCTTTTGATATGCGGCATAGCCTGCGAGCGATGCCGATCCCCGGACTTCCACTGCTGCAGATGCGCCTTGAGCCAGGGCTGTTTATCATTCGTGTTCTTGCCATAGGGCAGGCAACCGCCACCGAGCATGCCGTCGTGACTGCGTGAAACGTTGCCAAAACTGGGATAGATCATCTTGAAGGGCGGCAGCTGACGCAGCCTGCCTACAGGCGTTGAATCCTTGCGTAAATTGTTGACAAAATCCTGCTGTATCCAGGCCTGCACATTGGCGCCCAGACTGCCAATGCTGGAGCTTTGACAGACAACCGGTATCCGATCGTCCACGGGCGCCGCATGCTTTGCCAGCAGCGAACCCAGACGGGCACAGCCCCAGGGATGACCACGCACAGGGCTCTCACGGTGACCACCTGGCACGGAGCCAATAAAGAAGACGCTGTGGAAAGCAGACGGCTCATATAGTATATTGATTGTCTCCATGATTTGTACTCACTTTACGGCACTGAAATCACTCTTGCGTATGCGCGCAATCCACGGCTGCAGCTGCGACACCTTGTACTCGACCAGGTAGAGCATGAGGTCCTGCTTGAATCCCGTTGGACTTTCACCGGCAGCCGTATCTGCGCCCTCGGGCAATGCCGGCAACCGTGGACTTATCCACAAGCCCTGCGTGCGATTGTGCCAATCGTCCTCGTATAAATTCGCCGTGGAGATGACAACACGCATCGAGCCATCCGCATAGCCAAGCAGCATCATTTTCGTGTGCGATGTGGCAAAAGGTGTCGGCATATTGACCTTAATGGCCGTCACCTGCGGCTTGAATTTGCCAATGCCCAGCAGGTCGGGAGACTCATCGCCATAGAGCACCAGCAAGGGTTTGTCGCTGCGAAAGAAGTGAAGGCATTTACAAAATTAACTTGCAGGCATGAAAAACGGCCTTGTGCCAGATTGTTTGGTTAAAGATTGCCACAATACCAGCCACGGCTTACAGTATGCCCGCAAAGTAATAATGTCCCAGCAGCCAGCCGATGTCAATCATAAAGTTTATTTGGACACTGGACTCAATCTCGCCCAGACTTTCGTCGAGTATTTCCTGCAGCGTAACGCTCAGCGGCTCCTGATGCGTCGGCTTCGAGTCGGTGATGGCCGTAAGGAACATATTATAGGGCGCTGCACGCTCCAGCTTCCCGGCCATGCGCCCCTTCTCCACCACAACGGGAATGTAGTCGCGTATATTGCGCTCGTTGAGCCTTTGTTTCTTGGCCAGATTCGAGCTGTCATTGCTGCTCGCCTGGTCAGAGTCAGACCCACGACTGGTGCTGGGTGTCATGGGTGTAGCTGCTGGAGGCTCCTTTTTTGCTGGCTTCGCAGTCGCAGCCGGCGCCGGCTTGGGAGCAGAAGGCGTCGCCTTAGCGGCAGCTGCCGGCTTGGGTTTGGCATCCTTTGTGCCCAGCTGCGGGAATACTTTCTCCAAAAGCTTGAGCTGTATGTTGATCAGCTCGCTGGAATACTTGCCGGGTATGTCATACTCATTGCTGTTCGCCTTGAAGCCCTTGGCATAAATGGCATCCACTAATTGAAACACAAATATTCATAATGAAACATAACAAATGTAATTCTGTTTTTTCTTTTAACGTACAATGCGCATGTGAATACTCGCCAAAGTGTATGGGATTTTTGCGGTAACATTTCTCGCCGTAAGGACACTCTTGCATGTTGCCTAACTAATTGATTTGGATTAACAAAAGCTAACAAACAAAAGCGGGAGCTGCTGGTGCGCCTGCTGTCGACAGTTATCGCAGCTATCGCAGTTATCGAAATTATCGATTAATGCATTGCGTAAATAAAAAGCCGCCATATTAAAAAATTCAAAAAGCCACAAACGACAATTAATTGCGTTCGCTGTAATTGCATAGAAAATAAAGATGCTAAATAGCATTTTTAAACAATTTAGCTATGAGTCATAATAATAATAATAAACCTTTGCAGCCATGCGATTATGAAAAAAATTAACAAAGCCAGTGGTCAGGATCACTCCGATTGTGATTGTATTTTAATAGCCATCCTCTCACATGGTAAATTGGGCTACATATATGCCAATGACAAGGATTACTCACTGGAGAGCATTTTGAATCCATTTACGGCTGAGCGATGCCCCACATTGAAAATCATCGGTAGACTTGTCACATCTCTAGCGATAAGTGCAAGACAGCTGCTGGTGCTGCCAGATTTCGATCATTTTAGTTATATAGTGTCGATAGCTATCGATATACACAACAACAAAAACCGCAGAAGAAGCACGTGTAAATTTAATTTGTTAGATTGTTAATATTTGATTGAGCATTAAAATGCATGTTATTTGTAAAAACATTTGAGTAATCCATTTGACACGACCAGTTGGCAGCGCAACAGTGTTGCAAAATGCATGTATTGTAGGTAATTCGTGTTGTACACACTTCGTGTCTGTCGTCGGTCGTTCGTCGTTGTCGTCGTCGTCGTCGTGTGTGCAGTTCATGATAAACAATTTAAAATAAATAACAAAAATTCACATACTTATGGTGCATTAGAGTAAACAAACTGGCCACAAAAGCGGACCACAAGTGTTGAATTGTACGCGTGAGTAGCTTTCAAACAGTTTTATGTGCATTTCCATTGCAAAAATAAGCACAGTAGCAGTGCAATTACGTTTGGCTGAAAGAAAATTTTTTTCTTCTCATACTACGCTACTTCTTATTCGCTGCGCGCTGCTGCCGAAAGAGTCTTGCCTGGCGTCGTTGTTGTTGTTGTTGTTGGTGGTGTTGTTGTATGCTGCTGCTGCTGCTGTTACTCTTGCTCTGCAGGGATTACGATTACAGTTTTATTCTCAGCCTCTCGCCAGTTTTATGCTGCAATATGTGTGCGTGTGTGTGTGTGTGTGTGTGTGTATGCGTTCGTGTGTGTATATATGTGCCTGTGGTGTTTTTGTGCTGCGCGCGCCATTAATTGAACTAAAAAAAAAGGAAAGAAAAATTGAAAACAATTATAAATACACACAATAAAATCAAATTTTTATTATGTTTTGAAAATACTTGAATGTCGCTTATCTCCGCACACAAATTTCTGACATTTCTTCTGCTCGTGCTTTGAACAAAAATCCACTTGAATGCTGCTGCTGCTGCTGCTGCTGCGCTGCTGCTACCGCTGCTGCCTGGCAAGCACAGGTGCGGTTTACCCAATGAGGGGGGGTTGTCGCTGGCGATTTGTGCAATTTTGAGCGCGCGCTGTATTTTGATAATATTATTGATAATATTTTAAATTAGTCACAATTAAAAACAAATATAGCGTTTGTTATACCTTTGATGATTAATGGAATTAAAACGAACCTTCGACCGCTTATTACCTTTTATGAGTCAGAGAGCTGGATATCGCTCTCTCCCTCTCTCTCTCTGTCTGTCAGACGGCTTGCTCTGCTCAAACAAACTGTTATCACGAAACACAACTAGAAAACGCTGCTTGTTATCAATTTCATCACACACCTTCTTCCACTTTAATTTGTTTTGCTTTTTACTATTTTCTATGTTCCCATACACAGTTGCATTTACACTGCGTGCGCATGTGTGCGCGTACGTGTGTGTGTGCGTGTGTGTGTGTGTGTACGCTTATCTACGCCGCGCTGCTTTTGTTGCGCTTCTTTTGTTGCTCTTCTTGTTGTTGATATCAGCAGCGCGCGCGCAAACCTTTCAGCTAGCGTCAGAGGGGCAGCAGCAGCGATTTTGTGGGGCGGCACACGCACGTATTGAGAATTGCCTTCGCTACGCCGTTAGACGCCGCCTCTGTCGCTGCCAGCGTCAGCTTTGGCGTCGCTGCTTTCCTTTGTCGAAGGTAACTGAAGCGCAACCCAAGACGTGCACTCAATTCTACACACACACACACACACACACACACACACAAACACATGCACACTTTGACTTGTTGTGGGTGTACTGATTTTTGCAGTGGTTTCTGCGTATTTTGCGGTTCGCTGTGTGCTCTCAGCTTTGGGCGATATGGCAACTACTTACATCTTTATTGTTGTTGTTGTTCTTGCTATGCTCATAGCTAGCAGGTAGAGATGGGCGCGTGTTGACACGACACGAACACGAACATTCAATACTTAATGCTTATTTTTACGTGTAGAGAGCTTTAAATTGAATTTTGTTTAATTTTAAAAGTGTGTTCATGCAATTAAAATATTATCGCTAACAATTTATTCTAAATTTCTTAAATTTTCTATGTCCTTAAACTGTATTTTTGAACACATTCACTTCGTGTTAAGTCGTGCATAGATAGCTTGAGATGTGCCCAAGTGAGCATAGCGAGAATATGGGGAAATATGAGGCTCCTGCAAGTAGAAAATTTGCCGCATCATCGTAATGCAAAATGCTTTAAAGCTGCCTCAAAATGCCAGACTAGACGATTCACCCAACTGATAACATTTCAATTTAGACACCATTGGAAATTCAGTGCGCTGATTACTGAACGTGACGTTCGACTACGTACGTATATGCCATAGAAGGCTCTACTACTTTAAAGCATTGTCACGATAGTTTCCTTAAAAAAAAAAACTGAACAAAAAGATCTTTGCGTTTGCCAAAAGACAACACTTAGTTTTGGGGCGCAGAATATGAGTAAATGCTCTACCAGGAGCTCAGGAAAAATTGTGTTAAACTAACTGTTAATGGGCAAAAACTTTGCATTTTACAACACTTATTATCATTCAAAATGTTGATTTCTTTGTATCCATCCTACAATTATCCGGGATTCGATAGTTTTCTACTTCCACAACATTTTTGTCATTTGTTCGTTGTCTTTGACAAGCTAAAAATACCCTAAACTTGGCTATAACTAGGGTATGCTTAGGTCTCTTTGACACGATAAACATCTCATGTAGCCAAGCACTTAATAAAGTTGTTTGCCAGTCTATAACATAATAATCATAGTAATAATAATAAAAAAAAATGCGACAAAATCCGATTGCGACAGGGTCTAAAAATAAGTTCAAATGCGTGTTGACAATTTTTTGCTGTCTTTTATTTTATTTTTTTTTTTCTGCCCGCCTTTTCAGCATTTGTTTTGTTTTCAATTTTTTTTTATTACCATTGCGCGGATTATCGCGACAAGAAGATCAAGAGCAGCGCAAATAGCAACAATAACAAAAAATATTTAAATATTTGTATATGGGGAACAAGAGGGACGCCCACTTGCAAAAAGAAGAAAAAAAAACAAAATCTAAGCTGAAAATAAACTGAAAAAGCGTAAATCACGCTTTCGATAGATTTAAAAATAGTTGTGCACCGATAAGAGCCACGCCCACCCCCCAAAAAGCCCTGGGATTGCGACGACTGTGCTAAAGCAAGACATGCAAATTGTTTGTTGGATTTGTTGTGGGGCATGTTGCACAAACTGTGCATAAATCCAATTAATAACATAATTATTTAGGCGCACAGAGCCCAGAGAGAGAGAGAGCGAAAAGCCATTTGAAGCTCATTTACAAAATGCCGCCTAAAAGTCGTTAGGTTTGCAACGTGCAACGGGCAACTTGCAACGTGCAACAACCTGATGCGTAGGCCGTTGTGTGTGCCGCCTTACAGCTGGTTAGCTGGTTTATAATCACATGCCACATGTGCAGCATGCAACAACAAGCACTTCATATGCAAATTATTTTTATTTTAATTTGCCCATTTTTGTTGTGATTTTTTTTTGGCCCCCTCCGAAATTGAAATATTGACTTTGCGCACTTAATTTTCGCCAGCCTGGCAAATTGTGAATTGCCCAATCAAGCCAAGAGCGAATGTGTGTGTGTGCGTCGTACTTCATATATATAAACAATATGCAACATAAATTAGAATAACCGTTGAGCCGTAAAAACAAAAAGAAGGAACGTTGAGCATATGTAGGCGGCGTGGGCGTGGATGATTTGAGGTACTCGCGGCAGTTTGTTTCAAATATAAATCGAAGGCGTCGGGCGTTCGAGACGTGAGACTAAGCAACAGCTCAATTTGCATAGTTAAGGTACTTACAGCATGGCTAAAATGATTTATGTTCCTTGCCACATGATTTATGGTTCTGCAATACAATAGCCTGGCTAAAAATTAGATATAAATCTAAGTGAGGATAGAGTAAAAAAAAGATTGTCTAGAAATCTTATGGTTTATATACATTTGTATACAATTGCTACTCATATATGCTTCTCATATGAATTCATGCAGCAGTCATGAGGATTAATTTAACATGATAATAAATTGCCTTGCAACTTTTCCGAGCTGAATCTGCTAACTTGAACGTAATATACTGCAATCTATTCTTATCCTATTGAAAACTAGATAGTAATAACTGCAAAGAAATAATAGACAGATCAGAATGGGTATAGAGCTGGTTGTACAGGCTGTCCTCAGGATAAATTTAGCATGAGTGTGAGTTAAGATGTGTTAATGCAGAATAAAATAAATGTAATAACTTTTACAAGCATATTTACCTGAGTAAAAAGGCAGGCGATAATGGGAATAAAGCCCGCTGTATGGGTTGTCATGAGGATAAATTTACTATGAGCATGCGTTGAGATGTATTTTTGCAGATAAAAAAAAGCTAGACCTTTTAAAAGCATATTTAGATGATTTAATAAGCAGGCTACAATTCATATTAAGCTCATTGTATAGGCTGTCATGAGGATAAATTTACCATGAGTATGAGTTGAGTGTACAAGCATATTTAGTTCGTTTTATAAGCAAGCTTTAATTGGCTCAAAGCATGCTGTACAGCCTGCCATGAGGATAGATTTACCATTAGCCTGAGTTGAGATGTGTTATTGCAGATTAAAATAACATTTACAAGCAGGGTCAGTTACCATGAAGATGGATAAGTTATCTATCTCTACCACATGTTAAACTGGAAAAAGCCTAAGGTGGCATATAAAATTAAGTTAAAATGCCCTAAATAAAACTTGTAGTATGCCTGCACGAAGTGTCTTTTCGATTATATCAATTCCAGTTAATAACCAGATCAATCTCCAATTCCAACGCCCACCTAGAGCACAGCTACTTAGTAAGCAGACTGCAGTTTTACCAGCTGCTGTGCCCCCAACCACAATTACCATTCCTTGATTTTGTTTTCAGTCGCAGTCAATGAGCCAAATTGAAGTAAATGGCAGCATTAAAGCGACGAAACTGCGTCGGGAAAAACGTATGAAAACGCAACTTTAAACTGTAATAAAGTGGGAAATTACAGCGCATAAATCTCTGTCGCCGAACTGTCAAGTGTGCTGTTGCGAGTCGCATCGAAACGAAAGTCGGCAGTCGGCAGTCGGCGGGCTTGGAAAATTGATGCCAACCAATAACACCCACACGGTGAATGAGTTGAGTTTACAGTTTGGCAGCTACTGTTGTTGCACATGCAAACGGGGCGACGTTTGCATATTAAACACAGCAGCAACGCAACTTGGGGCATGCAACAGCCAGCAGCAGCAGCAGCAGCAGCGCCACACAAGTGGACGGCAGCTATGTTTTTGGAGTCCACAACTCGTATCGTATTATGTATTGTTGTCTTGTTGTGCGTGTGTGTTCGTGTTGTTTGTTTTTATTATCGTGGTCGGACGCCTGCTCAGGCATTCAGATCGCGCCACACACACGACTCTTGACGACGCTTGGCGCTTCATTGTCCATATAAAACTAATAATTATTGCATTTAAAATCTAATAAATAAATGCATTGACATCGCGGAGTTTCTGGATTTTCAGCAACATGCGGCGGGGTGTGCAAGACGCCGCTAAATAGCCGCTCCTATTTTAATGGCGCTGTGCGCCAGGGTTGCATAACGCTTTTATGTGCAAAAAATAAAAGTAAACAATTGATCGGATTTGAGAATTTTGTAGACGAACCATTCGATTTCAAATACTCGAATACTACTTTGATTGTCATTCTACTTTCCTTCAGTTCAGTCTTTATTTTGCTCTCAAAAATTGTACTAAGAACTAGTTCATTTAAGCACTAATTTCGTTCGTTCGACTAACAAGAATTTGTATGTTATTTAGAATTTATTTGCGTAGCTTTTTGATTTCCAAGCTCATCAAGGTTTTATTCACGTTTCGATTGAGCTTTCATTTCTTTTAAAAACTCATAAACTACTGCTGTCCTCTTGATAAGGAACTAGTTCGATTTGGCATTGCATTTGGCTTGGTTCAAAAGGGAATTGTCTCAAGTTTCAATGAGCTAGTTCAGTTTGTCTTAGGCCTTAGAACTAGTTGAATTTGAGGTGTATCTTTTGTTAAATATACTCGCAAGTTCACATGCGATTGTTTTTACCTACAAATATAATTTGCGATTCAAAAACTGTTTATTTTGCAAAAAGTAAAGTCAAATTGAATATCACGCTCTTTGTCTCACACAAGCTCGCAAGAGATTGCCTTGTGAGTCTGCTTAGTTGGAACTAGTTGAATTTAAAGACTACCGAGCTAAAGTTCATAAATGCATATTTATGATTGTATTTAGTGTAAGTTTTAGTTCAATTGAACGCTCTTGTGAAGCACAAGTTCAAAAGTCCTTATTAAAAGATTATTCCAGATTAAAGTATCCAATTTTTACAAGCATATTGAGCTAATTTAATAAGCAAGCTATAATTGGTATGAAGCTTGTTGTGCAGCATGCCATGAGGATAAGTTTACCATGAGCATGCATAAAAAATTGTTAATGCAGATTTAAATATATGAACTAGCATACTTAGCGCATTTAATGAGCAGGCGACAACAGAAATAAACCTCGTTGCACAGACTATTATGAGGATAAATTTACCATGAGCATGAGTTGAGCTGGGTTAGTTGTAAATCACAAGTTCATAAATTCTTATCTGAGTCTATATCAAAAGTTGGACGCTGAAACTTACTTGATTTTGCTGAGAATGAAGTGAGAATAATAATAAAACGTTCCTCACAAGAACTAGTTCTACAGCCCTGGCGCTTGTTGGGGCGGGAGGAAGGCGGCTAGAGAACGCACAATTCGTGTAATGATCATCATCAAAGTGCACAACTTGGACAATTGCTTGGCCCCTGTTGTTGTTGTGTTTAGTGACAACGTTTGCAGCCGCTTTTGACCATAATTGTTGTACTTGTCATTGGTTCTGTCGCGTTGCCAACTTCAACTTCAACGCCAAGCGCAAACGCACCGACAGCGCGCAGACATTGTTGTTGTTGTTGTTGTTGCTGCTGTTTATGTGTGTGTTAAATACATGTAATTAGCCATGTTTGTGCCATTTAATCCGTTCGGACTCCATGCCCTCTCTCCACACTCTGGCGACGCTTTTCTAAGAATTCTTTGCGTTCTGTTTTGGCGCACGCATTAGGCGCCACAAAGCGCGGCCACGTTTAACCCCCAAGCAGTAGCTGAAGCATTTGCCGAGTGCCTGTGCCTCGCCTCGACTGCAGTTGCGCATACTCCACATATTTATGGGCTATTTAGGCGAGCGCGCGCATCGTGTGGATGCTGCAAGCGGTGCGTGGGGGTGCATGGTGGCGCATGCAACTGGGGAACTGGACGGGGCACAGTAAAAGCTGCCTTTAACGAACAACAACTGTTTGCAAATTCTTGTAGTTGATGTTTTCTTTTTACCAAGTTGCCAAGACAGGTCATATAAATCGAAAAGCAAGAAGTTTAAGCTGTTCGTCAATAGAGCTTTCACTGTAGATGATGTGTGGTGGTCGCCGGTTACCGCGTCAGTCATTGGCATTGATTGGCAGCTGAGCACGCAACAATTGTTGCATGGCGCTGGCGACGCCTCTTGCAGCAGCAGCAGCAGCAGCAGCAGCAGCAGCAGCAGCCGCTTAGCGCAAGTTCACTTTTGGCACATGTTTTTGCGTGTACATTTTGCAAGTGCGCACTAAACACAACATGAACCTACCGCAAAGCAGTTGGCAACGCTGTCCAGGGGCGTGGGCGTAGGGTTGTTGCTGTGTTTTTTTGTACGCCGTTGACAGCTCAATTACTTTAGCAGGGCGTGCAGGGTTGCGTGCGGTTCAGCAATTAACGCGTCAATTATTTGTAATTAGAATTGACTTAATTTTTGTGCTCGCCAAAGGATTTTACCCTCATTTTACTTTCAGTCCAATTTTGGCACGTGCGCCAGCGCGAGTTAGATTGTGAGCGGGAGAGAGGGAGTGAGCGGGTGAGTGTGAGTGTGCGCATGTTGCATATGTGTATATTTTGCATGCATGCATAAATTTTTATTGTTGTTTATGTTGTTTGCTGCTGCTGTTTTTATTTAATTTTCCTTCATTTGTGGGGGTGCGCTTCATGACTATTTTCGGTTTTTACGACAACTGCGTTATGTTACCCAAGTTGGCTATAAATTCGCGTTTAGTAGTGTTAAACACGCAATAAAAAAAAAACTAGGCAATATTAAAAGTAGCGCCCACACCAACACAGCACACAGCACACGGTGCACACAACATATCTGGCAACGCCGAATTGCAATTTGACCATACAGTTAGTTGGCAACGCGGCGTGCAAGAATTTTGTCCATTTAACTTAAGCGCTTTGTTTTGCGCCCCTTTCCAGCTCCGTTTCTTCCATTGCTACCGTGCACTTGTTGTGGCAGCATTTACAGTTTGATTGCAGCCCACACGTTTACGTTCACGTGCAGTACGCCTAGCCCGCGGTCCCCCTCACATATGAAACGCTTTTGATTTGTTTAAAATAAAAAATTGTGTGTGTATGTATGTGTGTGTGTGTGTGTGAAATGCGCTTGGTTGCCGCTTTCCTTATTGTTGTTTGTGGCTTTTTACACATACGACGGCAGGCAACCACAATACATCACTCAGCAGTTACTCAAAGCCAGGGCTGCACGCTCGCCAACTATCGTTGCAATATAAATGTACCAATATTGCATTTAAATGACTCGAAGACAAAGGCTAGTCAAATAATCGTATGGCACGCTTAAGATATCGATTACAATGTGAAGTCTAGGTTCATAGCTTCGCGATAGTTGCTTTGCTCCTGTTGGCGCTCTCGCCCAGCCCTGATACTCGCATGCTCGCGCTCACACACACACACATACACACCACGTTCAATTTGCTCGGTCGCTCGCTCGCTTCACATTCGTCGTCGATCGTTCGCTTCGTGCAGTTGTGTTTTGTTGCGTCTCGCGGGGTTTTTGGTTGCTTCGTTCTCATATTATTGAATGAATTTGTTTTTATGCGAATATTACGCACTTAAGTATAAACAATAATCAGAATAATATTTAATCAAAATAACTGAAAAGCTCGTTGAACGAAAAATGTAACTGGTTGCTGCAGTTCGGTGTTTATTTTTGTTGTAATTCAATAACGGCGCCTTTGTGGAGGGTCTCGCATAACATTTGGATGCTGATTTTTGATTTGTGCTGCTGCAGCGTTGCGTGCATGTGTGTGTGTGTGAGAGTGTGTATATATTTGTGCGTATGCCGTGCAGTATAAATAAATAAGAATAATATCTGCAATCTTTGCCATAAACGTCAACAAGCAGAGAAATAACAAACGCAGCAGAAGTCGCCGTCGCAGCCAACGAAGAACCGTGAAGAACAACAGCCGCCCGCTCCCCCCTCTCTCTCGTTCATCATGTGTACGTGTTTTGCTTTATTTTTTCTCTTTTATATACCCTGTAAATGTTGAACTATTATATAACTGCTTGTTTTTGCTAGTTAATGTCATATAAGAAGCAGCATAATTTGGAAATTATTTTCAGTCAATATCTAATATAATTTCCCTAGATCGATAAATATCCTTTTGTGGGCATATCACTAGCCAGAATATATCAATTTCTTTCTGTTAATAGAGCCGTATTCAACTTTATATATGAAAATTCAAAACGCGTTTTAAGATTTATAGCCCTGATTATTGGCCCGCCTTCTCACCTTTTAGCTACAAAAATGTTTTAAAAAATTAAAGAAAACAATTAAGAGGTTCTAGTCGGGAGCTTACGACTAGGGGATACCCTGAACCCTCTTCTTCCAACATCAAATTCAAATATATATACTATTCTAGAAGCTATATGTCAAGTTTGGTTACTCTAGCTCTTATTATTTACCAAAATGACCCAAAAAGCAGGATATCGATATAGATTTTTATCGATTACTTGAAAACGGGATAAGTTATCGATTATCGGAAACCAACTCGATCTGCGCAGGCACTTGCGTTCATACATACGGACAGACGGACGGACGGACAGACAGACGGACAGACGGACATGGTTAGATCGACTCGGCTATTGATGCTGATCAAGAATATATATACTTTATGGGATCGGAGATGCTTCCTTCTGCCTGTTACATACATATGCACAAATACATTATATCCTTTTTAACCATTTTTAATGAGCTCAGGGTATAAAAATACAATTTCCATATTTTGGTATTTAAGAGCAGCAAATAATGTAAGCTATGGAATATCCTAGTCGCTTTAGTTTTATTTTATTTATTTGTCAATAATTTATATTTTCTTGATTTTCCCAACCCCAAATCAAACTTTGCTTTGCCTTTTTTGCTTGTAATTTATCATCATTGGGCTGTTCGCTTGCATTATTTGTTTATTTTTAAACACATGTCCCCACACACGCACGCACACACACGCACGCACACACAGTCGCACGCACGCACACATTCTCACACGCAGGTCCTCGTCTGCCTGTTTTTTTTTTTTTTTTTTTGACATTTTCAATGGCAACGGAAGCGCTGCGATAAGTTTGACTTCCCTTCCACTCACACTCACACGCTCTCCGTCTCTCTCTCTCTCGCTCTCTCGCTCTCTCTCGCTCCTTGGGTAGGCTACTGCATTTCGTTCGCGCTCTACCTGGCGCTCTTTGATTTACGCTTTATTGTCATTGCCGCATTTATGATTGATTATTGATTGGAATTATATGATACGCATGCGCGAATGCGTGCCAGCCATACGTGAGTGATGCCCCCTCCCCTCCCCTTCCCCCGCCCATGCCCCCCGCTCTGTCTCTGTGCCTTTGAGTTATGATGGACTTTTCAGCTTTTCCCTGGAAGAAGAATCTGTTTGGCTACATTGTTGCGCCAGTTCGGGGTGGAGTCCTCTCGCTCCATGGAGCAACTGTCACGCATTTTATCGATCAGAGACGGGGTTAATTTGTAATTGAAGTTTACGTTTATTGCTCTTTAATTGTTGTCTCGATAACATTGCCCGCCAGCCAGACGGATGGATGACTGGCTGGATGATCGTCGCCATAAAATGGTTGTAAAATTCTGCTGTACAAAGCTTCAAAAGGAAGTCAATTGTTCTGCGTACAAAATCATATAATGGTTAATTAAGATGAGTTGCAGCTGTAAAAGAAGTCTTCTTATATATTATTCAAGTTGAAAGACAAGCAATTTTAGCGGCTGGAATCTAAAGATTGTAGTTTGTTTTCGATAATCGATAACTTGACCCGATATAAATCGATATCGAAGTTCCGTTTTCTTGAGCAAATCTCTTTGCCTATAAAGTATCTTTAACTCTATGAGGGTGTGGCTCCGCCTAGCACGAGCTGCATTTGTTGTTGGTAAAATGAAGGTCCAGGGTATACCCTAGTCGGGCACTCCCGTTGGGAATAGCTTACAGAACTAGAAATAGATGTTTTTCCTTAAAATTGAACTGTTTTGAAATTTCTTCAAAATAATCAACATTTAATAAACAACAAAATATTCTTTGGGAACAGTATAATTTCTTAGAAATTATAATAAATATTTTCATTTACAATACATTTCTTTAATACAAATACAAATACAAATAATGCCTTGATTATTTGAATAGAAAATCTTCCCCCATTTGTATGTTTTGGAAGATTACCAGCTGTGGCCAGCCAGGTGGGCAGTTCCTATGAAATATCATCTATGTCAATGGGTCGAATGCCCCCAAACCCACCTGCAGAACCGAACTGAAGCGCAAAGCAACAAAATATCTAGATTAGAGGGGGGGGCTCGGTCGGGTCTAGCATGGAAAATTTGAATGCTTACCCAACAATCAATTGAGCTCCAATTTGAGCAAGGCTTTTGCCAGCTGGTCAAATATTGCGATAATTACAGCGAGCAGTTGACAAGGAGTGGGGAGTGTGGAGGGGGGGGGATACCCTGAGGCGTTGTCGCTGACTTTTGGGGCGGCCGCAGAATGTGGCAGCAGCCAAACAAATTGTCAAACGAAAACAAGAAACAGGCAACGCCCCGCGTAGGCTACAAGAAAATGCTGAAAATTAATTCAAGCGGCGGCTAATTTGGCCAGAAATAAATTTGCAAGTGTGCGAGTGTATGCGTGTGTGTAAGTGTGTGTGGCAGGCGTGTTAGGAGGTGTCCCCAAGTGTTGCACTTGTTGATTTATTGTCGACGTTTAATTGGTTTTGAAATTGGATTTCAAATTTGCCCATATCCCCCCCCCCCCCCCCCCCTCCACACTTATCCTTCAAAAAAAAAATGATACAAAATCGAAATTAATTGCTGCAACAAATTTTCTTTCAATTAGATTTTCTCACTTTACAATTGAAGCACACAAGTGTTGGCATAAGATCGCCTTTTTTTGCATTAGTTGTATTTTCTTTGAGAAATGTGGTTCACATTGAAATGTCATAATTGAAATTGAATTGTTGTCTTTGCCGTTACCGCAATGCGTGGTGGTGAAGGTGGGTCACTTTCGTGGTGACAGGTTGCCAATTTGCACATTTGTCTCCCGGTGTTATCTCTCTTATGTGCTAATTATGATGCACGTCGAGCTCGAGCGTTAATGCACTCTGTTCGGCGGCACAGTGGGGCAAAAGATGCTGGTAACTACTGAAAGAGATCAAAAGAATAGAGGCTGGGCACTGGAGGAGGAGGAGGAGGAGGAGAGTGAAAGGACATCTGGCCTAATCTACTTTTTTTTTTAAATATAATTATTATGATTATTGGTATACCACATAAAAAACAATAAACTTAACTAGCTTAAAAGTTTTTAGGCATGATTCGAACCAGCACCCTCTCTTTTCTTTGTTCACCTACCTTCGACTAAATCAATAAGTACATGTGGTAGGATTGAACCCGCATCCTCTCTTTTCATTGTTGCCTCAGTTGCCTTAGAGTAAATCAGGAATAAATATCGCTAAGCAGGGTTTGAACCATCATCCTCTCTTTTCAGTGTTGCCTCAGTTGTTTTACGGCAAATCAATAATACATATCGAGCAAACTTAACTAGTTGAATGGTTTTTAGATAGGATTCGAACTCTCGTCCTCTTGTTTAACCATAGAAAAAATCAATAATGCATATCGATAAGTTGGGTTTGAACCCTCACACTCTCTTTTCTTTGTTCAGTTGCTTTAGACTTAATCAATAATGCATAATGATATTGATATATTTTACATTAGTTCTTGTTATAACTATCATACTTCAAATAAACTGTAAGGATTCGAACCCTTTACTTCACTAATCTTAGTTCAGTGTGTTCAGACTTTTGTCTGATCTACAAGTCTGTTCAAACCTTGACTTAAAAGTAAAGTTGTACTTGAAACAGTTGTGAGAAAGTATAGAAATTATCTCACGAAAAGTGAAAGGCATTGATTTACCTGCTTTAAGCTATATAATATACAAATATAATTGTTATTTTTTACATATACTTTTTTCACTTTACTCAAAAGAATTGATTACCCTTGAATTTGGTTCAATGTTTTTACATACTATATATATCCAGTTATTGTCAAGTTCTGCGAATAGATTAGAACTAAATATATAATCGGGGACTTTACATTAGCCGGGCAATAAACACTTATAACCCTTTTTCTCTTCGTTTTTTTTTTTTTTTTTTTGGAGCATTACAATGAATCAGCGACTTATTTCATTAGCGCTCTCGCGTCACACACTTGTCTTGAAGATGGCTATAAAACTGGCATTTCTCAGGCATAAAATTAATTTGTTTTGTGCATGAGCAAAGCGCCGAGTGACTCAGTTAGCTTTATAATAATTGACAGTTTTCAATAAATTTTGTTAATAACTAAAATTGGCAAACGGATGATGAATCTATAAAGATTAGGCTTAAGATATGTGCATCGGTTTATTTGGATTATCCAAGCGGGGTGCATCTATAAATTTGACAGACCGTCAGCTCTTTAATAAAATTATATATACATATATATTAAATTACATTTCAATTAATATTATTATATACAAAACCTTCAGAAGTAAATAATGTTTATAAATTATAACATGCACTAATGCATTAGATGCCTTCAATTTTAAATTCCTCTATTTCTTAACCTTTAACCTTTCTTCCATTTGAATTTCCTAATAAAGAACGGAATTCGTGATTTTAAATTTCTCTTTAATTAAAAACGTGCTTACAAACTTGTTTGTGCTCAAATAAATATTTGTAGTTGTTTTAGCATTTTTAACAGATAATTTAAGAACTAAGCAACACTTTTGATAACTGTACAAAAAAAAAGCAAATCATTTTTAAGTGTTGTTTAAGTATTCTCCAATTTAATCAATACCGAATTTGTTTCCCTTTATTTGAGCGATATCGATTATATTTCCCTTTTAATTTCATGACTATCGAATGCTTGCATTTAATCGATATCGATATTTTTCCTTTATTTAATCGATATCAAATTGATTCCCTTTTACTTAATCTATGTAGTATTTATTTCTTTTATTTATTCGATATCGAATTTATTTACTTTAAATTTGATCGTAATCGATTTTCTTTCACTTAATCGATATCGATTTTATTTTCTTTCATTTAATCGATATCGAATTTATTTCTTTCAATCGATATCGAATGAAATTCCTTTAAATTTGCTCGTCTTCGACTAACTTGCACCGTGATATAAATTTGCACACATATTTGTTTCAGTGTTGGAAAAAGCCGCTTTTAAGTAGCTGCTGTAAAAATAGCTTTAAATAAGTTAAAAATAGCTAATTCAGCTTTCTATTCTACGCAAAGCCAGAAAGTAGCTAAAATGTGTTTAAAATTTTCAACACTTTCGGTCTAAAGCACTCTGAAAATAGCCAAAATTAGCTAGAAAATGGCTCACTTTGCAACACTGTGTTTCAATCGATTCTACGGAAACTGAATTTCTTGTTAATCAGTTAAAATTATTTCTATCGCATATGAAAATGAATTATTATTAAACAATTGTGTATGTTTTGCATGCCCGATTAATATCTCTAGAATATAATTCTTCTTAATCAAATTGAACTTGTGTGTGTGCGAGTGTGTGTGTGTGTTATTTCGCGTATGATTTGCATGCAATGGACGCTGACCTTGGGCAAAACTGAGCGCCCAAAGCGGGGCGGAGTCAAGCATGATTTGTGCACTGCCTGGCAGCAGCAACAACAACAACAGCAACAACAACAACAATAGCAACAACAACAACAACAAATCGAATTCCCCCTGCCTCAAAGCAAAACCCGCCCCCTTCAATCAATCAGACGAACGACTTTATTTGAAGCTGGGCACATGGCCAAGTCTGTTGTCGTTGTTGTTGTTGTTGTTGTTGTTGGTGGTGTTGTGGGCGTTGCTTAAATCCAATCTAAATCGTGGCTTTCATTGATATTGATATATGTATATTTTCATTATGTATCTAACGAATTTGCATTGGTCTCTCTCTCTGTACACACAGACTATCCGCCCGTTGATAGCTATACCGGTTATCGGGTAACTCCACCCCAAAGCAGTCACCAGCACAACAACAACAATAACACCAGCAGCAGCAGCAGCAACAACCACAACAACAACAACAACAGCGGCAGCCACATCCACAGAATGGACACCGATGATGTCGAATCGAACACAAGCAGCGCCATCACCACATTGGGCACCCTTTTCTCATTCCAATCGCCGGCTGTGAAAAAGTTACTCGGCTGGAAACAGGGCGATGAGGAGGAGAAATGGGCCGAGAAGGCAGTCGACAGTTTGGTGAAGAAACTAAAGAAGCGCAAAGGCGCCATCGAGGAACTGGAACGCGCCCTATCCTGCCCCGGTCAGCCATCCAAGTGTGTGACCATACCACGATCGCTAGATGGACGATTACAGGTAAGATAAAAGTTGAGCATGCAGGTGAAAGAGTCGCAGATAGCTCAGGTAAATAGACGCTAGCCGGGAATCAAATAAGGCAAATGAGAAGACAATGAGGAAATGCATACATATGAGAGAAGGCAGATTGTGAATATATATGTATATAGTTATAGATCGAAGTTAATTAGAAAATGTCATGAAAAGCTCAAAATTTCATGAAAAGCTCAGATTCCGCATAAAAAAGTGACAATGGAGGACAATGTATGCATGTATATAAAAGAGTAGAGAGAGTAGACCCTTAGAACTATGAGCTTAGGTAAGAATAATTATAATTAGAAAATTTCATGAAAAGCAACGATTCGACATGAAAAAAGTGACAAAGGAGGACAATGTATGCGTGTGTTAGAGTATTCAGAACTGGAGTCTTTTATAGCAATAGTCGTAGTTGGAAATTTTAATGAAAAGCACTGATTCGACATGAAAAAAAAGTGACAATGGAGGACAAAGTGAGTAGGCCTTTGGCTGAAAAGCGAACAACTAACAATGCAGGACAATGAATAGTATCGATGATTCGATATAAACAAGTGGCAATGGAGGAGAAAATCTGTATGCCCATACAAGTTACAAATAACATGAAAGAAGAAAAACAATGGAGGATATTGTCCCAGTATGAGTATAATTAGAAGTATAAGTATACGTACGAGTATGAGTATAAGTATGAGTATGAATATTAGTATGAGTACGAGTACGAGTACGAGTAGGACTGTGAGTATGAGTATAAGTATCTGTCAACACTGTAAATATGTATATGGAGCGAAGGTCTGTGGATATTTGTTAGATTCTAAACATGTTTTTGATATACAAGACACTTGTATAATGCATCGAAACAAAACAGAGCCTACAGGACAGAATTCAGACACATTTGATAGGTCTATTCAATTGAACTTATATGTGGGATATGATCTTAGCGTAAACCAAAACTCATTATTTGAATATAAAAACTAATGGGAGTGTTTGTTAGGAGAGTTTTCAATGTATCTAAAAACAGACGCTGGAGATTAAATCGAGTAGATTTCTAATGTTAAAGTACTTTATTTCAAGGATTATATTCGCTTGAAGAGATAGTTGGGATTAAAGAATGGAGGAAAAGTTACTAAGCAATGGCTCAACATGGAGCCTACTTTGAATCTATCTAATCTGCTTAAACATTTCCATTACACCAAAAGCTTTATGATTCCGTTTCGTTTGTTTGCCGTCACAGGTATCTCATCGCAAGGGTCTGCCGCATGTGATTTATTGCCGCGTCTGGCGCTGGCCGGACTTACAGTCGCATCATGAACTCAAACCGCTCGAATTATGCCAATATCCGTTTAGCGCCAAACAGAAGGAGGTCTGCATTAATCCGTATCACTACAAGCGTGTAGAGAGTCCGGTGCTGCCGCCGGTGCTGGTGCCCAGGCACTCAGAGTTTGCGCCGGGTCACTCGATGCTGCAGTTCAATCAGATGGCCGAGCCGAGCATGCCGCACAATGTCAGCTACTCGAACAGTGGCTTCAATTCGCACAGTCTCAGCAATAGCAACACATCGGTGGGCAGTCCCAGTTCGGTTAATTCCAATCCCAATTCGCCGTATGACAGCCTGGCGGGCACACCGCCGCCCGCCTACAGTCCCTCGGAGGATGGCAACTCGAACAATCCGAACGATGGCACACAAATGCTCGACGCCCAGATGGGCGATGTGGCGCAGGTTAGCTACTCGGAGCCAGCCTTTTGGGCATCCATTGCCTACTATGAGCTTAATTGTCGCGTCGGCGAGGTGTTCCACTGCAATAACAATTCGGTCATTGTCGATGGCTTCACGAATCCATCAAATAACTCCGATCGCTGCTGCCTCGGCCAGCTCAGCAATGTGAATCGCAACAGTACCATAGAAAATACACGCCGTCATATAGGTAAGTGTGTAAAAAGTGTGCCAAATGTTAATTCAAATCTTGTTTCGATTAGCTTAAGCACATTTATGGCCATGTTCCTGGCAAAGTTCATGTTAGTTTTGTTGTTTAATCTGCTTTCTGCTAACTAAATGTTAAGCATGTTTGACATTGTGACAACGACGCGTTGATAAGCTGACGGTGTGACTCGAGAAGTTATTTAGCTCAACGTTTTGTAGGGTGGCAACGCTGTATTTCTAACCTCATTGTAAATATTTACAAGCAAGCCGGCTGAGGTTTGTGTTAACTTTGACAGATAATGAAGTTGGCAGTTCATAAAAATTAGGTGTACTCAAAGATCGTATGTACGAAGATTAAAGATATATAGAAAACATTTAACTATATTACAAATTAAGTATTTATCCAGGATATTTTGAAATTATTAGAAGAATATTTTTAATATTTAAACACAAAATGATAATATTTTTATTATAGAAAATTTTGGAGTATTTTCCCAAGTAAAGAAAGAAAAAAGAGAAAAAAGTAACGAAGACAAATGTTCAATTTTATTCAGGCTACAATTTATTCTCTTTTGGAGACATCTCCGACCCCATCGAGCATATATATTCTCAGATCAGCATCAAGAAGCGAGTGGAAAACTTTGTTCTGTTAACAAAATATCTTGACCAAGAGTTCGTCATTTATTAGATAAACTTTGCTGTTTACATATTAGTCAAATCTTATGAACTTCGCACAGCTATATTATTAATTATAAGGGGCAGATTATGGTAAAGTATTTTATTTTCCAAGATATTTCTATCTCGGCCTGTCCTTACTTTATAGACATTTTTTACTACAAGTGCATTATTAATATTCCTTTGTAATGTTTTTTTTTAGGTAAAGGCGTTCATCTGTACTATGTAACCGGGGAGGTCTATGCCGAATGCCTGTCCGATTCTGCGATATTTGTGCAATCGCGCAATTGTAATTATCATCACGGCTTCCATCCGAGCACCGTGTGCAAAATACCGCCCGGTTGTTCATTAAAAATCTTTAACAATCAGGAATTTGCTCAACTGCTATCGCAATCGGTTAACAATGGATTTGAGGCCGTTTACGAGCTAACTAAAATGTGCACAATACGCATGTCCTTTGTGAAGGGCTGGGGTGCTGAATATCATCGACAGGATGTTACCTCAACGCCCTGCTGGATTGAGATACATTTGCATGGGCCGCTGCAGTGGCTGGACAAGGTGCTCACACAGATGGGATCGCCGCATAATGCAATCAGTTCCGTATCCTAAGATAAAGACAACTAAATGGAAACAATATTCAAGCAAGAAGGAAGGAAAACCCAACACACACACATAGATGATGATGATGTAGCTAAAAGACGTAATGCCGTTAGCTGAGCCCTATGCCTAAATATTTGTGTGCGTGTATATATGCCTTACAAACCGATATATATATATATACACTTATATATATATATATGTACCTAGATTGATATATATATGTAGACAGCTACTCAACCCGCCTCTCGCCCACATACACATACTTATCTATTTTATAGTTTAAACATATGATTTTCTACGCGAATGTCATTCCTTATGCAAAACAAATGAAAAGAAAAAAGTTAATGCAAGCGAAAACGAACTAAAGTTTGATCTATATACAACTATTGTACTATTATTATTACTATTATTATTATTATTATTATTATGATAATGATATATGCCCATTGGCAAATGTTGTTCAAGTCTATTTCAAGTGCTACTTATGTGTCATTGCGAATTGCTTTTAAAGAATAGCAAAAGCAACAGAATAAACCTAAATATATATATATATATATATATAGTATATACATATATAAATCAAATTATGCTTATGTGTAGGGCAAGTTTTAAACAACTTTTATGCAATACATTTCTTTAAAAAACAAAAAAAAAAAGAAGAGAAAAACACAACACAAAAGTTACGCTTAACTAATTGATGATCTTGTTTATGTTTAAGTACAATTTAAAAAAAGTTAATGAAAAAAAAAAAAAAAAAAAATTGACAAAACACAATTTAATTTTAAACATTTTGCTTAGTTTAGTTAACATTTTCTGTTTTTCGTTTATTTGTTTCAACAATTTTTTCGCTGGTTTTTTGAAAAAAACACACGATGATTTTCTTTGTGCCGAAATCCCCATTCTTTATAAGTAGTTATAATGTCTTAATTTTTGAAATAAAATACAGTTTTGCCTTCTAACTACCTGTAGAACTAATGATATATATCTTTATATATATATATGCATGTATATGATATATAAGCTGTAAATTAATGGCTTAAATGCGGAACACTAGCCTTTTAAGTATATGTAATAATTGTGCCTAAACACGTTTTACTTGCGCTTTCAATGTCAAAAGAAAAAAAGAAAAGCAAAGTTCATTTTCATTTTAAGCTAAATGAAAACAAAAATAGCTTAAAAGAAAAAACGACAAAAAAAAATTGCCTTAAAGTTTACAGTTTTTAGCAGCTATAATACAAACACAATGCCTTACACATACACAGTTTTGAATTGCCTTTTGCTAGCATTTTGTGCAGCGCTGTTTAATGTAATTGTGTACTAAAAACTATTGTAAAACAATTTTGAAAACTTAACGTAAAAATAAAGACAACAAAAAAGAAAACAGTTTGCAAACCTTTGAATTTAGCAACATCTGGCAACGCTCTGTGTTTGGCGCGCTGTAACTGTAGCGGTGTGTGCTGTGTTTAGTGCGCAATCGATAAGCAGGCAATAACAAGAATTTGTGACATACGCAAGAGTGCTGTTTAATATAGCGCGGCGTGTCGCTAGTTAACTTTTTTATGTGCACTCAGCTGACGCTTAAATCAATTTTTAATTTTTGTCTTATATTTACAAATTAGTTTGGCCAGAATTGTGCTGTTATCGATAAATGTATTCCGCTTACCCCTTATAAACAGCTGATGTGCCGCAATTAAGTCACATTTTGTTCGTTTCGCGATCTGGTCACACTTGTCTTGCAGCTAGAATTTGTCAACATGCAGGCATCGCCAGTGAACGATCCATTGGAAATATTGACGAATAAAGGCAACCGCCAGCCGACATTCGTGGGTCCCATATGGAATCCCATTGCTGGCGCGATTGCCGGTTTCGGCATTGCGCTCTTTGTCAACTGGGGCTTCCGTAAGCCCGCTTTCTCTGGTAAGTTCGCAGCGCACTGCTGTGACGTAACATTGTCCCTGCCATTATTGTGTGTGTTTTTGATCAATTTCAATTTGTACTTTTACAGGCATACAGAATCACATTGCGTTTACAGCCATCGGCGCTGGACTTGGTGCCTTCATTGACAAGCAACGCGATGCATATCTGGCCAAGCGCGACGCTGTGCTCCGGCATTACGTTGAGTTGCATCCGGACGACTTTCCGAAAACAGGTGAATTCTTTTTGGCATTTATGCACTTTGCCTTCCAGGCTCATTGAATATTGTTTTTCTTATTGGCTTTCCAGATCGTAAGAAATACGGCGAGGTTTTGGAGAGTTGGGTGCCAGTCCGTTAAGTGCTCGGTGCTGCGTAAAGGTCTACGGCTTGAGCCCTGCCTTAAAACGACACATTTTAGTTAATTAAACTGCTCTAATTGTAATACATATGAATACAAAAGTAAAATAATGGAGTTTGTTTGCAATTCAAGTAATTTGCGTGCGTTCCGCTGCATGCCGCTAGCAGTGTGACCAAGCATTAGATGTGCAAAATGTTGACTGACTGAGTTATAGGCGCGCAAATTTAAATATAAACTATAAAATGAAAATGTGGTAAATGTTGGTCAAGAAATTCAAAAAAGCTAAATAAATATTTTTAAATTGGTCATTTATAGGTCTTGCTTGCAGCTAAGTATATTAACACATATATTTAAATGATCCAATCTCATCACTCATGGTATTAAATGTTCATTTTTAGTATTTTATGTTGCTTATAATCGGGCTTTCGTTTCTTTCCGAAAAAAACGCCGTTCTGCGCTTTCTATAGTCAGGTCACACTGTCGCCGTTTGGTTTCAGTTTCGGGTGAATATTTGTTTCTGTAGGACGTGCGGGCGCAGTGTCGAAACGTGAATACACACACATTTGATTCGTGCCTACCTACATAGTTTCGTGCGTGTATGTGTATGTGAGTTACCGTTATAAATTAGGATAAGCGGAAAAAAGACGAAAGAAACGGCGCAAAATTTGATCATTAACTCAAACAAATTTGTTTTGTGTTTGTTATAAGTTATTAATTTTTTGTTGGTACATATTAACCTTTGGCAGCAGCAACTTTTACGCTGGCGCCTATCGAGAACAACAACAACAACAACAGCAACAAAATAAACGTAGTTAGTGGAAAGGCACTTCAAAGCGAGCGCACGTCAACCGCAGCAGCAGCAGCAAAAAAAAAAAAAACAACAACAACAGAAGCTTCTAGCTCAGCCCAAAAGGCCGACGGCTTTTATGCAAAAACCGAAAGAAAAAAAAACATCTCACAGTCGATTTTTGTGAGCTTATCAGCAGCAACACACAAGCACAGTTATGTCTAAGGTAAGCGCTGCGAACTTAAGCTAAGCTTTTCATTTTATTAGAACAATTATTTATTTATTCATTTGGTTAGCGGCCAGGCGCTGCATTTGCTGTGCTCTTCTAGCGCACAGCGCTCCATTTGCTGACCCTTTTTAACCCACACAGCTGCTTTGTCAATATGGATTTCATTTGATTGCGTGCGTGTGAGTGTGTGAGAGTGCGTGTGAGTGCGAATGTGTGTGTGTGGGGGAGTTGATTTTCACTTGTGTTTGTATAAATTATGCATATTTGTGGTTTTTTTTTGGGTGCAGGAGGGTGGTGGGGGGCTGATTTGAAAGGGGGTGTGGGGTACATTGATTTCTTGAGTTTGGTTTTGACTAACCCCCAAGAGAAAGGTGCGATTTTTATGGCGTGTAAAATTGGCAACAAATGTAACGACGAAATTGTCTCTCTCTGTGTGTGTGGGTGAGTGATGGTGTGAGTGTGTGTGTGTGAGAACCCAAATAAATCTTAAGGCAGATTGGCAGGCAAGTAACGGCAATTGGTCCTTATGGCATTTGATAGGCACGATTTGTCTTCTGCTTCTTTCTCTTCTTCTGCTCCGTTTGCTTCTTCTTCTTTGAGGGTACTTAAACACCGTTGGGAATTTTGGGCATCTAACGGTTACTTTTACTTATCTTCGAAGCTATTTCCCAAAGAATTAAAACTTACCTTTGAAAAGGGCTCAAAAAAAAGGCAGAGAAAAGTGCTGCAAAGTACCAAAAAAAAAAAGGTTGCAAGTTTCTGCAGTTAGAAAAAGGTTCGTTTTGCGACATAAGCATTTTCTGCTTAGCTTTCTTAGAACTAGAGCTTTCACAGTTATAATTAAATGATAATTGAACAAATTTTTTTTAATAATACATTTATTATTGGATATTTCTTTTGCACATTTGCTATTGTTTCTCTCCCAGAGCATTGACCCGGCACTTTGGCTCAGTCAGTGTTTGGTTTCTAGTGTTGGTAAACGCTAACAAAATCCTGGTGCTTGCTTAAAGCGCACGCAAACGCGATTTCCGGCCATAAAACACTGAAGGGAAATTCGAAATCAGCAAATGTCCCAATCAAGCTGAAATAACTCGAATTTCAAGTGCTCGGAAATGTTTTTCTTGTTTTCCCACATGCCCCAAAAAACGGGCAGCATTTTTCCCATGTGTTGGCAAATTTGACTCATGCATTTTTTATGGCGTGGGTGCGGATGAGTGGGAGGGGGGAGGGGTGGGTAGGGGCGGGGTGTGTACCCACGCAACGCTTGAATGTCGCGTGCCCGTAATTTCTCTTGTATTCTTTCAGATAAATTACTTTTTTCACGTCACTTGTCGCTGCCATATAAAGTTCTTATCTTAAAGCAAAGTTGCTTTTTATGTGCCACGCCCACCTTCGTTTTTTATTACACATATATAAATACGTTATTTTCTTTGCATTTGGCCTGACAATGCAACGCATAAAAATTCTGATTTTCACAAAGTAAAAGTGGCACTCACAGCTGGCGGCAAGTGCACACAATCAAATTGTGGCCCAAACCCGGCTATATACGGCCGACAACAGCTTGGCCCATAAAAAACAGAGAGAGAGAGAGAGAGAAGCTCTCATATTATTAGTTAAATATACATATATATATATATGTATATATATGTGTATATATATATTTTTTGTAAGTATTCTAGGGCAAGGCGTTTTGTCCTTGAATCGCGAATCGTGCATATACACAGAGAATATATGTCTATGAACCAAAATGATGGACCTATAGACACCCTATAGTCTGAACCAAAAATATATTTACATTTTTCTTAGCAAATTTCAAAATATTCGCATTGAATTTCAATATCGATTAATTCAGCTCAATATCGATTTAAAGTATCGATAAATGATTCCGTTTCATTATAAAATCTTAGTATAACATATAGATTTACGCCTCATTAAAACATTTTTTTCGTTAACATCTTTATATGATATTTTTTTTTTATTCAATACACAACTGTATTTTATTCAAAATCAAATGTGTGATAAATAAGCATTATACTGCATTTTTATCGCAAGCAAAAACATCTGTTTTATATTACAAAAGTTGAATAATCAACTTACATATTTATATAGAAATTGGATCAATTCAATGCTGGGATAAATTCAAAAAATTATATTATTAAAGAAACTAAACTCTTACCATTCCATTTTTATCGAAAACCTATCGAGTTCTCTTATAAAAACAACAATAGTGTTATCGATAAAAAGTTATCGGTAAAAGTCTGTCATGTATACAACTTGTAAAAATTTAAAAGAATTATTTAAAAAAGATTAATAGACAGATAAAAAGATATAACAGATTTTTACCGATTACTTTTATTGCAAAAAGAGAACGAAAGTGTTTATATATCGATGCAAATTTATCGACTTATTTATCGATACTTGCTTTAAATGATATCGGAAAGTTGCGAATAGCAGTTAATGGGCATGCAATTTTTCGAAGCTTCGCAAACTTTCGGGTCTATCAAACTTTCGCATATCGCTTATCTATTTTAGAGGGAAACAAAACTATGCTCAATGAGGCTGGGCTTTTATTGTGCGCCCTTCCGCGACAAGCCTCATAATCATCAAAACATCGTCAACAGCGGCCTCCTTGTGCGCCTGGCAACCCTCTCCCAGCCACCTACCGCCCCCCCCTCTCATCATTATGTATTATTATACAAGCCCCTCTGCTATTATTGTCGGCTGTGGCATTTTGTGTGTCAACAGCAGAAGCAGCAGCAGCAGCTCCTGCTGCCAGCAAGTGCAAGGATAATCACAAGGAATAAAACTTGCAGTCGAGTGACATTTTCTAAAATATATTATCCCGAGTGTGGAGCGCAATGGCCATGTTTATTTTTCATTGGCGACAAGTTTCCTGGCTCAAGGAAAACACACACATTTTTCTGTTTGCGAGCATATAAATTGTCCATAGCTCTGCAGGTTTATAAAGTTATCAGCTTAGTTATACAATATAATTCACATACGAATATAAATAATGTCGAACGAGTCAATTTGTAGAGATTGTTATCGATTTTCCATTCATTCAATCGATATAATGTATGTAATCGATATAATGTAATCGATTGTTTTATGTAATCGATGCAGCTTGGAAATCCGTATTCTCATGCAATTAGATACAAATAGACATCATTTTTAATGTCTTTCCTTCTTGAATATATCTCTATATATAAAACTGTTTGTCCTGACTGATTGACTGACAGACTGACTGACTGAGTGAATGACTGACTGACTCATTGACTGACTGACTGACAGACTGACTGACTGACTGACTGACTGAATGACTGTATGACTGATTGACTGACAGTTTGACTAGTCAGTCGACTGACTGACTTATTGACTGACTGACTGATTGATGATCAACGCACAGCCCAAACCGTAAGAGCCTTTGTGATTAGGGTGCACGTTAAGGCGGGGTTTCGGGAAATTCCACCCGAAAGTGTGAAAAAATCGGATCGGCCTCAAACTCAATTTCAAGGTTCATTGTTCAAATTAATTTGAGAAGTGTTTCACATTTTTCCAAAAATGTATTCCTCTTCGGTGGAAATGGTGGTCCAAGATTTGTTGGTTGACGTTTCGCGGTCAAGTTCGTTTTCAAGGATCCATTTCATTTGAGAAGTTGATCAAACTCGATACAGACATTTCTTTTAGCACCAGTTAGCATATATCTTGATATGCCAAGAATTATCGAAATATTTGACTGACAAATACATATTCCTGCCTATTCCCACATATAACTGCAAAGAACAAATGTCCATCGATTCTTTCTCGTTCTGAGTGCTAAATAAATACTTATGGGATGCTGACAACAGAAATGCAATGAAAATATGATAATTTATAACAATTTAGATCTATCAGAAAATAAATGCTTAACTTTTAAAGAGATAGACAACAGATTCGCATAAGAAAAGAGTTGGGAAAACCACTTTAAAGAGAAATTTCACATTAAACTGCAGCACATTGGCTATGGCTGCATAGCATACTCTGAGGCGCAGCATCTGTTGCCACTATGGACTCTTGGCACCTTTCTGGCCATGTTGATATTTGCCACACCCACC